TAAATTTTGTAAGCTAAATGATATAGAAGTTGATGATTGAATTTTACTCAAACGTTAATAAGCATGCTCATTTTCTATTGGTGACATATCATTTAGTTCGCAAATTTAATCCACAAATTTAATCTTCCTGGCATTACTCTTGAAGCTTATTGACCCTTGTAACCCTTTTCTCAAGTCTTCTAACTCCCCTTGTTTGGTGCCCATTGAATCGAAAAACTAGTGGTTAACTACTATCACAGTCCATGCTGATAAGGGTAAAGAAAGAGAGAGAACCATCGGTTGTAATTACTCAAAAATGATTGAACCTGAAACCCAACTGGGAATTGGGAAAAGCACTTAAATTAAAATCATGCATATCCAAAATTACAAGCACAACCTCACTCAAAGGGAAGTAATTTTCGCACTCCCTTTTTTTTTCGCCGTTTCTTTTATGAATTGAACATATAAAAGAAAATAAAGAGATAGAAATAAGAGAAGAGACACAAAAGGAGAAATAAGGGAAATGTGAAAATGAAAAACAAGGAAGACGCTCAAGACAAGCCACGACTATGGCCGGAAGATTTGCTGCTCAAGATGGAGTTCTTGAGGTAAATACATTTAGAGTCGTTCGAGAACTATTTCGTTTATGGGTTCTTTTTAATTAAAAACTTATTTGGTTAATGTTTTCAACCAAAAACTGAAACCTCAAACTCAAAATGGAAAGTTACTTTTTGAGTTTTCAAAATTTAGATTTCAATTTAAAAAAAAAAAAAACTAAAGTGGTTATAAATCGACCCTTTAATTTTTTTAGGCAGTGAGCTAAAATCTTCATGTCTTATAACTTGTTCAAGATTGTTTGGCCATACAGTGGTCATTGTCTCCCAACTGTGAGGATAATTTCAAGGAATTCATTATCTTCCTGGAGCACCAAGTAGACAACCAATGTCAAGATAGAATTACTGAACCGACATTCATTTTTTAATATAGAACAAACTGATGATATATATAATAAAGTGTAAATGTCTTTGTCGTTAACAAAACATAACAACAATGTTACCTGTACATTCTAAAAAAATATTCATGAACACAAAATAAACGTCATACACAAAGAATTTTCTAAGAAAAATGGCTAATTAGTTCTCTCGTCCTTTCTTGGTGGTACTTTAAAGGTGTGTGCAACGGATGATGACAAAGGATCATTCAAATTTCCTTACGAGGAATCCAGTCCAGAGTTTAATGCTGCCAATCTGATGGGCCTATAATCAACGGTTCCGATGGCTCCATTCCCACTGATCATCAAATGAGAGTATGGGTCCCAATACAGGCAATGCAGACGGACCAGTATTTGACCTGTCCAGGCGTCTGTCTTGCAAGTGCGCACGTGGGTTTGAGCCACGTATTGGGTGTGTGAGAGGGACTATCCGGTTAACCTACAACGCAAAGCACTTGAACAATTCAACCTATCACCAAAGATAGAAGCTCTGCTCCAATCCCTTCCCCTAGACCAAGCCAAAGATCGGGGTCTCCCATAGACTTGCTTACATGGAACTGCCTAGCCCGACGGTATTGGTTTGCGCTAATTCGGCCATATGGTTGTATATAATCAATGATACACAAGTTTTCTCGAGTTAGACAACTTGATAACGTATGCATCGATCTTGTGCACAAGTTGAGTTTAGTCACATGGCATTAAGTTCGACCTTAAACACGTAACTGTTGGTCTCGTCTATCAATTGAATTTGGTTGAGCCTAAAAGGCTTTGACTAGGACTTAAGTAGAAAGTAGTTGATCATATGCTACTATGACATACTAGATCAATATCGCATTTTGAATCCCTATCCCAATTCTCCCATGAGCCTAAGTACTAATTTGATATTGAGGTGCTTTTGAAAAAAGCAGGTATCAAAAAAAGCTTCCAGCTTTTTTGTGTTTGGTAAACTTTCAACTTCAGTTTTTTTTCACAGTCTTGGGTGAAAAAAAAAGCCAAAAAACAGAAGCATCAAAAGCTAGCTTTGAAAAACTGGCTTTTTTTGCTTCCACTACTTCTGCGCAAACCTAATTTGCAAGAGGCGCCAAGTCCTTCAATAAAACTTTCAAATACCTAAAATGACCTTAAACAATTAAATAAAGGACACATAATACCAACTAGAAGACATCGCCGACTTCAATTGGGAGATCGTCCTCATCGACTCCACCACAACGCCGTTCACTCCCAGCTTCAACAATCACCGTTATTGAGCTTGGATTCCATACCTTACAACATCGTTTCTGTCTATGTCATTTCACCCATCTCTCGTTCGTCCTCTCTCACTCTCATGCCGACAAAATCGAGCCGAGAAACACCACCATCTTTTCCGGGGATAACTAGACTTGGATTCAGATTCAGTTTTGGCATTGCAGACTTGCCCAGATTTTCCAGATTGCACCGCTTACAGGAGACTGATCTTCGTATTTTTGCAAATTAAGAGAGCCCAGATTGCTTAGACGAAGAAAATGAGGAAGAAAAATGCAGTGAGACAGGTGAGAGAGATTGAGGAATAACCCATCAAAGACGGCATAGTCACAGCGTTGGTGCCTTTGGAATCCATGGAGAGGAAAATAAAAAAGAAGAAGATGGAGTAGAAAAAATAAAAACTGAGAAAATTGGGGTAGTGGTGGAGACTTCTAGAGAGATTTTTTTGGTTTTTGGAAAAATTTAGTCGATGCAGATAGAGAAAATAAAGGAGGAAGACTCTAGAGAGAGTATTAATAAATAAAATTATTATTCTTTATTTTTTGTCAAATATAAATAAAATTATTTTTATTTTACATTTAATATCATACTCATTTTTGTCATTTGACATAGTCACAACAACTTTATATAAAAGTTTACCAAACACCCTTACACTTAAAAGTACTTTTATAAAAAAAAGTTTACCAAACACTCAACTACTTTATTTTACATCTGTTTATTTTCAAAGCACAGTAGAAACAGTTTTTTTTTAAAAAGCACAGCAATACCAAGTTAGCCCTAAATTTGTTTTTCTTTGCCCTAAGGATGGGATAGCCTACCCTCCTAAACTTTTTATCTGCGGCTGAATTTATCATTATTTGAATCCCAATATCACTAGGATTTTCAATCTTTTTAGTGTTGTTTAGCTAAGGTTTTCTGTCTAAGAAGCTATAAATATACTCACGTACCGACATTTGTTTTAGTATAACTGGAACACGAGCAGATACATCACGTGTCATAATATAAGTGGAGAAACACTAAAAAAAAAAAAAAAATACCATAGCTCTACTAAGTTATATGATACATAACGTACAAATTTATAATTTGGTACCAATAATGCCATGTCGTTACGATGTTTCCCCCTCACACTGTATTTATGAATGATGAGAAAACAGATTCCTCAGCTCCCTTTCTCTGAGTTTTATGTGGTAGATATCTGATTTCTCTGAGAAAACAGAGATGACTTACTTTCCCGCTTATTTATTTGGATGAGAAATACAGAAGACAAAGTATTAGGTAGATGACCATATTCATACTTTAACTCCATCTCCATGTATTTATTCCAAAAGCAGAAAAAAAGCAGATTTATTCGAGAAAGAAATAAGGAATTGTCTGAAAAGTTTTAAAACAGAAAAGAAGGAATCCAATGTGGAATTTTCCTTTTGAAGAACAAGAAAGGAGATTTTTTTTTTAAAAAAATTAATAAAAATAACTTGAAAATTTTGAGTTTTAATAAAAATGATAAAATAAATGATAAAGTGAATAATATCATGATTGATTTTTTAGTATAAAAATATAATTTTTCGTTAAAATAAATAGTATCGAAAATTTTTCATTAAAATTTTTATTTTTTTTCTCTTTTCAAAAGTAGATTAATTTATTCAGAAAGTTAAGAAAAAAACCTGGAAATTTGAAATCTTGGTGGGAAGAAGGAAGGAGAGACAAGAGTGTGGAACCTCGATGTCAACGACTGACAAAAACATTAAGTGGTCCGCTTGGCATTTGTCTGGTTGGGAAACCTCCAGGTCGAAATCGATTAGTAAAATGGATAACAAAAGAAAAGCACTTTTCTCTAAATAAATGCTTCTTTCTTTCCCAAAAGCACTTCACTGTACCAGCCCAGATTCAAATACAGTTGATGAGATGACCTTAACGGTAAAAGCCTTTTCTGATATTTAGAAATGTTATTGATTATACGCAACGCTCATTTTTAGTTGAATTTCTTCTCACAAAAAAGTAATACGTAATTCATTTTTTAAGTTAGTTCAAGTAGTGAAAGAGTGTGAGATGATAAGTTAAAATTAAGATAAATTCGTAATTCGATTTCCTATAATAGAATAAAAGTACATGTGACATGTTTTTTCATGTTTCAAAGTAAGTCATTTCATATGATGCATCAAGCTTCCAATGCATCCGAAACCTACTTGTGACATGCCGTTTGTATTTCATAACATTTTAAAAACAGGGCTTCAAACAAAAGTCATCAAATCGAATTATCATTTATGACTATCTTGTTACATTAAATTCAAAATTTTAAGCAACGGACGAATGTGACAACTCAAACATCTTTTTCTGAAAGCACCCCTAAAGCTTCCAAACATTTCAAATGACTCCATCAAAGCTGGTCTCATCTTTTTAGCAGTAAATCATTAAATCTTCACTTTGATCGTCCATTTTTGGTTCTTGGATTTTGTTGGTGAAAACCACAAAACCAAATATGATTCATCAAAACACGCGGTCACATTGCACGTGGCCAAATCCCATTAGCCACAGGTGGTCCCACAAACACAATTAACCATCTGACTGCGACAGAAGACCATCCAATCCAGGAGGATCTTCTGTCGGTTTGCTTTTCGTACTTTATGTAACTTTTAATGTACTGACAAAACGGGGTCGTGCCGTCGTGGCCTCCGGTCGTTTTTCCCCAGAAAAAGCAGTGGCCCTAGTGGGGGTTCAATTTCGTAAATTCCTCCCCCCACGGGGGCAAAAACTGCACCTTCCCCCAAAGAGTCGAGCGCCATTTGCTTCCCAATTTGTCCCTTATTGTTTTGAATTTCAAATATCGAAACGGCTCTGTTTTTTGGGACCAAAAAATAAGCCCTACAAAACAAAGCAAATCACCCACGTCCCAAAAGCTTTGAGTTTCATAAATCCACCCGGAAGTTTCACTAATCCACCCGGTAGTTTCATTAATCCATCAGGAAGATTCATAAATCCACCTTGAAGTTCCATAAATCCACGCTGCAAACCTCTGTTTTTGCTTGTTTTTCTGCTGAAGCAAATTTTTTTTTGCTCAAATGGGTGCTTCTGGTAAATGGGTCAAGGCTCTGATCGGGATGAAAAAATCCGACAAGGACGACCCGGTAAAGCTTCGATCTTTACCATATTTCCAGTTTATTTTTTAATTATTTGTGCTGGGTTTATGAATTTCTGAACTTTTTTTTTCTGGGTTTGATTTGTTTGAAGGTGAGTGGGAAGAGCAAGAAATGGAAGCTGTGGAGGAGTTCTTCAGGGGATTTAGGGTCTACTTGGAAGGGTTTCAAAGTTAATTACAGGGCGGGATCGGAGGGGTCGGATTCTCCGAGAGGGGCGGATGTTTATAATGCAGCAGTGGCTGCGGTGGTTCGAGCTCCGCCGAAGGATTTCAGGGTTGTGAGGCAGGAATGGGCTGCTATCAGAATCCAAACTGCTTTCCGAGGCTTCTTGGTAGTAAAAAAAATCACTTTCTCTCAATATTTATTTAATTTGTTTTTTAAATCTGCACTCACAGGCCGTAGATCATAGTGTCTTAATTTGAACAACCTGCTTGTCGATGTAAGAAAGTGCTTTTCTGTTATAATTGTAGCTTTTGATTAGCAGAGCTTTTGAAATAAGCACATAGTTAGTGTTGAAGTTGCTCAATACAGTCTGTTTGATAAAATGCCTAGCTGCCTATTGGGCTTAATTTTTAAGGATTTGGCTGCTATTGATGAAAGTTTGAAGCTTTTTGTATGGGGAAACTGATTTGCAGGCGAGAAGGGCTTTGAAGGCCTTGAGAGGAATAGTGAGGCTGCAAGCTCTGGTTCGGGGCCGGCAAGTGAGGAAGCAGGCTGCTGTGACACTGAGGTGCATGCAAGCTCTTGTTCGAGTTCAGGCTCGTGTGAGAGCTCGTCGTGTGCGAATGTCCATGGAGGGACAAGCTGTGCAGAACATGATCAATGAACGTCGCACCCAGGCCGATCTCTTAAAAGAAGCTGAGGTAACTTGAGCTTTTAAAGTTCTTTGCTTTCATTTGAATATCGTCACAGAAGAAAATATTCTTGGTTTGAACTTTAAAGCGGCTTTTTCGAATTTATGTTTTTTAATAAGTACTAAAAATAGACAAATAATTGCAGGAAGGGTGGTGTGATAGCAAGGGAACAATAGATGATGTTAAAGCAAAGATTCAAATGAGGCAAGAAGGAGCATTCAAGAGGGAGAGAGCAATTGCTTATGCACTTGCTCAGAAGGTAATAAAACACGGAAATTAACTTCGTCGGGAACCTCCTTGTAGTTTGTCTGTTAAACTAAGTGCCTTTCTCTTCACATTACTGATATAAGCAAGATTGTGTTTCTTTTTGTCTTCTCAGCAATGGAAATCAACCCCAGATTCGAATTCGAATTCTCGTACCAGGTCCTCAGTGTACTCTCTCAGTAAGAACAATGAATTTGACAAGAACAGTTGGGGATGGAGTTGGTTAGAACGTTGGATGTCAGCGAAGCCGTGGGAGACTAGGCTGATGGAAGAGTCACACAATGACTCTTCTGAGATCACACCGCCTCCAAAGAGCTGTGCAGACCCTTTCATGGGCAAACAACATTCGAAATCTTCAGAACCATGCTCCGTTAAAGTCAGGAAGAACAATGTCACCACTAGGATTTCTGCAAAGCCTCCTCACGTTGGGCAAGCTACTCGCTCATCTTCGAGCCCAAGTTCCGAATTCCGATATGATGAGAGCTCTGCTTCATCTTCACTGTGCACATCCACACCGCCAGTTTCTGGGAACACCGGATTGGCATCAGATAGAACAGATGACGGCTGCAACTATAAGCCGAGTTACATGAACCTGACTGAGTCAACGAAGTTGAAGCAGAAACCACAGAGTTATCTGTCTCAAAGAACTCAAAGGCAATCCATGGACGAGTTTCAATTCCTCAAGAGGTCTGGGGCATTCTCTAATGGGGATTCAAAAAGTAGTGCTGGTTCTGAGCCATTTTCAGCCAACTTCTCCAAGCCGCTCGGCATGCCAACGCGGTTGGATAAGAACTCTTTGAAACTGAGGTGAAAGGGGCGCCTCGATCATACAATCAGCTGGGTTAAGTTCATTTTGATTGAGAAGATCAACAGCTAGTTGTTCCCTGTTCCCTATTTTTTAGAATGTGTAATTTTAAGTGTGTGCTAGGAGTAGAAGAGTTCAGTTTTCATTTGAACATAGTTAATTTATGAATATGTGGAATCGAATATTTACATAATTCAAATGCGATGGATCATTGAACTCATCGCGGGCTTTCTTGCAATGCATTGGTCTCTAGGAAATTTATATTCAAATTGATGATTTATATCACATAATCTACATCGAAGATGGCTAATACATTCTGTATATCTAATGCGATGGATCATTGAACTCATCGCGGGCTTTCTTGCAGTGCATTGGTCTCTAGCAAATTTAGATTCAAATTGAAGATTTATATCACATAATCTACATCGAAGATGGCTAATACATTCTGTATATCTAATCTTTCAGTTGCCTTCTTAAGTGAGTGATAAGTATTATAAGGTCTGATCGGGCGAGTGGAAGAATGATTCTTGCATCATGTCCGCTTTATGACTCGAAGCTTGACGCCATTCTTGAACTTGAGAACAATGCCATATTCAAGCTGCAGAGGCACCTCCATAAATGGAGAGTGCTGGAACACATACTTCCGGTATAAGTGAATCAGTGCAAGCTTTATTTCTTGCACGGCAAATTTCTGACCAATGCAGGTTCGAGGCCCGAGTCCAAACGGTAAAAAGGCATATGGATGCCTTTGTTTCTCTTCTTTGCAACTTGGATCAAACCTCTCTGGCCTGAACTTTTCTGGCTCTGGGAAGTTCTTTTGATCTTTCGCTAAAACTCCGAGGGCTAACCAAACCCAAGTCCCCTGCTCCTCAAAAACAAGACGAATTAATCCAACATATACACAAACCACTTTCAAATCACAGACAAAAAGACATTTCTTCAATGAGGTCCTTAGCAGAAGCAGAGCAATACCTTCGGTAGAAGATAGCCGCCTATTTCAGTTTCTTTAGATGTTTCTCTTGCAACTAATGGGGAAACCATGTAAAACCTCATTGCCTCTTTAACAACCTGCATTCGAAAAACCAACATGTAAACCAACTAATGAGGAAGCTTCCTCAAATGCAACATTGAAATTTGAGAAGCCTTGCCTGATCAAGATAAGGAAAGTTGTGTTGGAGATCACTAGCAGTTGGCATCTGATCTGGCTGTCCAAATCCATCGATCTCTGCCAGCAACTTTTTTTCAACTTCGGGATGTCCAGCAACCAAGTAGACAACTGAAGACAATGTGAATGCTGTGGTGGTCGACCCGGCAAGGAGATGCTCATAAGCAAGTGCACTAATGTAATCCTGTGCGAAAATATTTTTCGAAACCCTCCCCGACTCCCTTGCATTCAGTATGAGTGACAAGAAGTCTTTTGAACCTCGTCCGCTGTCTTTCATTCTCTTTTCCACAACCGCATCAAGCCGGCTAGTCAAATGCCAGTTACTACGTTCGATTTTTCTGTCCATAGTGCCAGGAATTCTCTTCAACATCTGCCAAAACGGCCACTGGAGTATGGGGACAAGTAGTCCTAGTATGATCGATAAGGAACCCGAAAAGTCCAGCTTAAGTTGTGCTGTGGAATATATGTGTTGGTTGAGGAAGTCCGAGACTTCATTGTCATTGTTGTATTTTCCATCAATCTTTTCCATTGACTTGCCGATGGATTGTGGTTTAGAAAGGCCAAAGTTGACACCAAATGCAGTTTGTCCTATTACATCCGTAGCCAATTGAAGGGAGATGTCGGAAAAGGTAATATCTTCTTCTACTTCCGCTGTGGAGGCAAGTTTTTGAGTTGCACATTCAACAAATGACTGCATTGTAGGCACAAGACTGGCTAAGTGTGATGGTTGATACATTGACAATATAGTGTTTCGCATCGTAGCCCATCTTGCATCCCTGCAGCATGCTCAAATTCCATCAGATGTTCTTTAATCTTCATTACTATAATCAACATGAAGAGAGATTCGAACTTAAACGTAAAAGAAGTGAACCTAATGTCTTGACTAATTGACCTAACACACGTCTACTATAACTTTAACCGTGGTCCGTGGGTAGATGTTCCAAGTCATTTTATAACAATATAACATACAAAAAATATACCTGGTTAAAAAGAGACCCTTCTGATGGAGAGGGGAAGCTGCAAGGGGAGATGGAATGCTTCTGTTCTTAATGTCTTTGAATTTCTTTATTCCAACTTCCCTACAAAGCTCTGCATCTGCTACAATTACGAGTGGTTGTCTACCTATATGAAACCTGCCAGGATGTGTTACCAAAAACTTAAGAGATGAGTTACGCGCATACATAAGTGACTTACCTTAGCATATTATAAATCAAGGTAACACATAATTGCAACGTTAGATTTATCACCAGATCTAATTTTTAACTAAGGTCCTTCATTTCAACCATACTAAAGGTATCGTTTGGTATGCAGACGGGACGGGATGGAACGGAATGGGACGGGACTGGACGGGACTGGACAGGACGGAATGGAACGGAGTGGGAGCAAAGATGCCCTCGGATGGAAACAAGGAGGAAGAAGAAGGAGACGGAGAGGTTTTAATTTTGTGTTCCACGGATGTGGAACGAGTTGTTCTAGGGAGGTGAGGTGGAACGAAAATTCACCCAAAACTCGTCTTGTGGAACAGCTTGTTCCACCCGTTTTAGGCGCACCAAACGTGGGACATAATGCCTTGTCCCACTCTGTTCCGTCCCGTCCCACGTTTGGTGTGCCTAAAACGGGTGGAACAAGCTGTTCCACAGAACGAGTTTTGGATGAATTTTCGTTCCACCTCACCTCCCTAGAACGACTCGTTCCACATCCGTGGAACACAAAATTATAACCTCTCCGTCTCCTTCTTCTTCCTCCTTGTTTCCATCTGAGGGCATCTTTGCTGCTGCTCCGTTCCGTTCCGTCCCGTCCCATCCCATTCAGTCCCGTCTGCATACCAAACGATACCAAAAGGCACACAAAAAGGGAAGCAAAAAAGTAATTTTTGCACAATCTACTGTCCAGATGAAAAGATGTCACAAACAGTTGGTAAGTTTATAATTTAGAAAACAGTGGATCAAATGTAGCATGACCTAAATGGCACTAATTTGAAGTCTCGTTTCTTTTTAACAAAACGATATTGTATTATAAACTACTCTATTAATTTATGAATAATGGGGATTTGAACTTGAGTATAAGGGATCTGACATATTGTCCTGGACAACTGACCTAATCCTGTATGCAATCTCGCACTTGTTGTCAAATTTCTTTGGAAAAAATTCGGGGAAAAACAGACAAATTATGCATAATCAAACGTACACACGCATAACGCTACTAACCTGAAAATAGGGCCATACTCTTTGGCAAGAACCGAGAATACATCAGGACCATACTTTGCCATCAAGGGAATGTGTCCTACCAGAGGGATAGTAGGTGGGCCAGGTAGCCTTCTCATTCCCCAGTAGGGCCAGTACAAATACCCCAAAACTCCTCCCAGTATTGCCAACACCATGAAGATGGTAAACAACAGTTCAATGCTGCCTATCATTCTCTCAGTCTCTTGAATCTAATTCTTCAAGGGAGCTGAGCTCAGGTTGGTTTAATATATAGACTGGTGATGGAATATTCGGGGGTTCCCACTACTAACCTGAAGCAACTGCTACGCCGTTGATAGTTGATCCTTGTCGCAATCAAGATGATTGTTTTTCTGTCGTGCCTTACAAATGATTACATTCCTGAAAACTGAGAACCAATAGTGGAAGAGATTCCGTACCTCTCTTCGCAACGCCACAGGCGACGTTGAGATTCCTCTCTGATTCGTTTTCACAGAACTAGCAATATTTGTATATTCTCTGCATACAGATCGTTGCTGTCATGTCATCAAAACTTTCATAGTGGATGGTGATCTCAAAAGTTCCAAGTCCCCAACTTTCAAATAAGTTCGTTCATTTGAGTATCTTTCACCCAATCATCGATGGAAGACTTGAAGAAATCTGTAAGTGCACCCATGACTTTCCAAAGATCCCCATACGCAAGGTAAGCGACAGCAGAAATTCATATGGTCACCCACAGGGCCACACGTACCCTACTCTACCGAAAGCACTAGAGGCTCCTCCACTGACAGAAGCAGCCATCCTTCTATTGCCTCCCACCCAAAGTTTGAGGTTGAAGAGCCGAAAAAGTCTGAAGCATCCCCACCCAGAATGACACTGAGAATTGAAACATCGAAAGTCGTATAATTTTAGAAAGAAAATTTGAAGGAAAGAAGTCTGATTGCGAGCTCTTCGTTCTTGTTGGCTGACTAACAAGTGGTACGTTCGTTGGTTTTCACTGAATCATTGCCCGCGGTGAGCTGCCGCACACAATTGTCTTTTTTCGTGAAGGAGGCAGATTGTCTCCTCCTGTTTGGTACCCTTTTCATCCCCTTTTATTTTGTGCGGTTACGGTTAAGCCATGTTAATATTTTATATAGATTTTTTTTTATAGAGATAATAAGACAAAAAACAATAGGAATATAAAATGTTGACGTGGCTTAACCGTGTCCGCACAAATAAGAGAGAATGGGAAGAGCACCCAAACAGAAGGGCAGACAATGGTGAAAGCCTACTCTCCGATCTAAGCCTGACACTATTTTCTGACATTAAGAACATTACCATGTATTTTTTATGCTTTTTTCTTGTATTATTAAGTGACACACCCTAACCCGAAATGTCCACTTGGACTCCGAATTGAGTTGTATTGGCCGACACATGGAGGGTGACGAAACCATAAAGTGTAGTGTAGTGGGGAAAAGGATGTGAATAATTTTAAACCTAAAAGTGCCCAAACTAAAGAGTGCACGGGTGAGCAGGATTGAACCCAATTCACACGTGATATCAGAGCATAAGATAGTATAGAAAATAGAATGAGAGTTATACCACTGAAGATAACCATCTCCTGAGATTTGCCAGAAACCTCGTTTACAAGTAAGCACAGCTACTAAACCTGGAGGAGCAAAAAACAAAGTTGAGTGGGTCAACAAAACAACGTTTTTAAGAAAACCTTTATTTTCGAACATAGTAACCCCTCGCTGTAAAATAAGTATAATTTCCTTAAAACATACTACGTAAGTATGTAAACAACAATTCAATAACAATACAACCAGAAATATGCCAAGTCATGATATATCAATGCCACGGTAATATAATTATGTGATAATCAAGTATAACTAAGTGCTCATCCATCTAAGCTGACACACGAGTTTGAATAGATAATCTCTGACACGAACATGACTGGGTGTAATCAATACGCTCTAATACTACAATTACATGAAGGCTCGTGCAGAAGCACGTCACATAAGAGTCACAATTGCCTAATGCAAATTGTACGATGGGACTGGCACCTAACTTGAATCCAAGGCGAGCGAACAGTGTGATGTGAACATACACGTGACAGAATGGTCCTGGTCCTGGGGAGAGTACAACACCGGTGCAGCAAGATGAGCATGTACAGATATGTATGAATGTCATAACAGTAATATCTCAACCATATAGCAGCATTTATCACATTTAATATCACAATAACGATACTTGGCAATATAAGCGTAGAAGTAAATACGCATTTAGGGAAACTATCAATAAGTATAGGTATAAAGCAAACTGCCCACTCACATATACTTGTGAAGTTTCAACCATTCAAGCTAGGAAGTTGAAATCTCCAATAATAATTGCACCTAAGCACATAAAAGGGTACAATTAATAAAACTTTACTCAGACGATTGAATTTCTAAAAACGGACGTCATAAATGGATACATGACTTCGAAAATAGCCTAGGAGGGGTCTCGGACGAAAACCCAAAAAGTCAAAGTCAACGGTCAACGGTCGGACGGGGTTGGGTCGATCAAACGGGTCGGGTCAAACTGGTTTGGGTCAACTGGGTCAAACCGAGTTTGGGTTGGACCGGGTCAATAGGCAGGAGGCCCTAAGTTCTTGGGCTTGGGTTCTAAGGCCCAAAGGGTTTAGTGGGTTTGAAGCCCATTAGGTTTAGGGTTTAAAACTCAGGTTTAGGGTTTAGTGGGCTTGAGGCCCGACCCAGGTCCTTGGGTTTAAAAAGCCACGGGTTAGGCTTGGCTTCTAGATGGATTAGGTTTAGGGCTTAAGTCTAATGGGCTTGGGTTTAATAGCCTAGCCAAGTATTGGACCAAGGGCCCGAGTCACCAACGGTCCGAAGGCCTGATCTGCTTGTGATCACTGAAGAAAGAGGTTGAATCCTTCCATGCTCCAGTCAACGCCCAAGCATCACCTTAGGCTCCGATCTAGGTATCAAAATAAAGGCGGAGGTGAGAAAAAGAAAGTGGTACCTGTGGTTTGCCATGGAACGACAGTAGCTGGCCAGATCTTGGATCGAGAGCCTCGACACTCGCTGAGATCATTTCTTGGGGCTTTTTGGGGTGCACCGAGACGAGGAACGGTAGAGGAAAGTTCGCGAAGGTGGTGATGATGCAGCGCTGTCGCCGAGGTGTCACGGTGGGAACATCTGGGTATGGGTATCACTGGGAAAGAGAGTCCCAGAGAGAGAGAGTTGAGAATTGAGAGAAATAGACGAGAGGAAGAGAGAGGGAAAGAGAACTAAGAGTGTGAGATCCAGGGGAGAGAGAGTGTGTTAGTGATGAGGTAGGGTGGTGCCACATGGCAACGCTAGAGTGGTCCACTTTGTAAAAATATCTCAAACGCAAGAAATTTACTAAAATGTCCTAATTGTTCCGTGTTTTGTAAAATCTTCGTTTTAGCTCCAAATTGAAATTTGCTTGCTCCTACGGGTTCGTATCGCCAAGTACTTCAAGAATACATCAAAAGAGTGAGTCCTACATCTCCCTAACCGAATGTCAACGAAAGTCAAAATCCTTGTCTCAAGGGTATTTTTGTAAAACCACATTTCTAACATTTATAAAATTGTAAATGTAGGGACGGGTTATCACATTAAGGTTTTTTTTTTTTTTTTTTTTTTTTGGGTTAAACGATAAATTTTGTTAGATTAGATGTTAAATTAGTCACCAATGGAATTCGAACCCACCATCTGTTTTTTATCCTTTTTTCTTGTATTATTAAGAGTTAAGTTTATGTATCCTGATTAGGTGTACATTTTTTTTTTCAATATCAATAAAATTCCTTAGGGAAATTTGAAAAAAATAACCAAATTTCGGACCCTAAATATAATTATAACCAAAAGGTGATATGAAAATACTAATACACCCTTAAAATAAAGTTTTCTAAACAAAAAAAAAAAAAAAAACCAAAAAACAAAAGGCTCATCTATCTTTTACCGCCATCTTTGTCCTTTCTAGACGATAATCCAAAACCACATAAACCTAACCCAAGTACAGCCAGCCATGGCGTGCAGCACGATCCCTCTCTCTTCCTCCTCTTCTTCCTCTTTTATACTCTCACACACAACTTTCGTTTAGTTTCGAACCCCCAAAATATTTTTGACCTCCTCCATATGAAGACAACTCTCAGCCTCAGTCTCAGTTAACTTCCTCCTCTACTTTCCAATTTCTGATTTTCAATTACGACGATGTAATCCTTGAGTTCGAGCACTTGCACCACCAAGCTTACAACAAGGCCTTCGCTCACTTCAGTGTCCGCTGCCCTTCCTTAACATCTTAGCCCCTCAATTGGGACCTCCACCTCTAAGATCAGCTCCAGAACCAAATTGTTGGTGAAAAGCCGAAAATAAGATGTTCCCTACCTCTTTTTCTTTCATTTTCTCCAAAGGTTGAACTTTGGATTTTGTTTTTGTCTATGATTGAATTGGGGTTTTGGGTTGTTTAAGGAACTTCAAGGAGCACGGGTGGCTTCGAACTTATTCAATTCTACTTCGAATCTCCTGATTTTAATTGAATCTTGCTTTGTTTAATTTCCATGGATGACATTTTTTCTTTTTTTTTTTGGTTTTTTTGAGAAAGTTTTATTTGAGGTGTGTATTAGTACTTTCATATCAACTCAACTTTTGGTTATAATTATCATAAATTTAAAATGGTGGCTAGAATTCTATTTAGGGTCCAAAATTTAATTAGTTTTCCAAATTTCCCAATTCCTCTCGTATCATCGAGGTTTTCTAGAAGTATAAAAAAAAACAACAAAGAAACGGAGGTTTCTCCATATTAATTAGTGAGAGTTTTCTTTTGTTCAAAATCAGTGAGTGTTTTTTGTCCTTGTGAGGAATATTATTCTACCAATGCATACGAAAGGCCCCATGTCCAAACAATATAAACGTACAAGGATGTCGTTGTGTGGTAATGAAACTTGAAGTTCCAAGTTCCATCCTAAAACAACACATAAACCACTCGAATTACATAAAACGTGTATGATTTTACATATGAAATATACATAAGGTAATCAGTGAAAACACAGTTCTTCATAATTTCATAAATACTAGTTCATATAGAAAAACAAAGCATTACATTAGACTAAACAACAAAATTAAAAGGAAACAAATTAACGCTAATCATCCATCAACAAAATTAAGTTGATAACTGCTAACTGCTATCTACACAGGCTACATCGATCTAAAGCTACATCAAATTAAAGCATAAGCTTCAAGGATCGAAACCCTTCACCAGTCTCCGATGACTCCTCCGCCTGCAATGCAGGAAAGAAGAAACAGAAAATCAAGACCATTGGATACAAAGAAACACACATTCAAAAAGTACAAGCAGGAAGCAGCAATCATTCAAATTAAGCAAAATCATTCAAAGGATACAAAGAAACAGCAGCATTCGTGTTGGGCCCTCTGCAACATTCACCATTCCCTTCTGCACGTCACCGATCGTTGCATTATTTATCGCTTACAGCAAATCAACAAACATACATACCAATTAGTAAATGAAAGCCAAGTTCTTGAATCAATATACCAATATATAGATATAGGAACGGAGTTGTAGGGGACAACTAGCACACGTTGCACTTCATCATCATCAGACACTTTCGTTATCGTCGTCACGGCTTGGGTTGGGTCTGATAACCCATTTCATCAAGAAGCTCTTGCAAGTCCTTACCCCAATCAGCCGGCTCTGCAACCAAATCATCCACCTCAACGTCGATTTCTGATTCATCGCCCACCACGACAGCTTCCTCCTCCGGGTTGCCACCAATGAGGTCATCACTCCACAGCTCCTCCCATATAGTCTCACTAACAGAATCCAAGTGGCCTCCAGTAGTACTTGTGGATACTAAACTCGGATTAGGGTCCTTGATACCACTGCTCGCTTTGTTGTCCAATGCAGCAGTTGAGAGAAAGTTCTCAATATCCGGCTCCATATTTGCCAACTCTCCCTGATCCTGGTTTGCCGAGTAGTCTTCGACATCGATTACAGGCGCTTCTTGCAGATTCTCAAGACTGGGACTAGCAGCCAGTCTGCGTTTTCGACCAATTTCAATACCGTGCAACTTTCTATTCTTAGCATTCTTCTCAGCAAGGTGCTGGAGAAAAGATGGACTATTGAGTGCTTGGGCAAGGAAATTGGTCATCTGCTGCTGTTTTTTCTCCGTGGCCAGCAACCGGCCTTCCATTACCATGACTTGCTCCCTTGAATTATGTTGCTGCTGCCTCAACTTCACAAGCTCCGTCATCAAAACGTTTCGGTCTCTTTTCAGTCTTTCAAGCTCGGTTTCTACTCCGTACTGCCCCAATTTAACACAATCTCCTCCTCCACCTTCTTGTTGCATACTCTGTGAGACATGTCTCCTCCTCTTGATGGTCTTCAGCAAATGCCTCTGCCCTCCTAGAAACCCTTTGTTGGCGAATTCCCATCGGTCCGAATCAACCTTTCTGAAACCCTGCATGCATTCAGTTGATGAGCAAGCCTTGATATTTCCCCGATAAGGATGTAAAGTAATCCAACAAAGGAACAATTTGAGTAATTCTTAACTAAACCAAAACAATTGTTAAGAAAATTAGCAGGCAGACAATTTTTTTAGAAAATATGAGATGGAATTTGAACTAATTTCCAACCATGCAGAGAACACCCATGAGAATCCACAGGCAAGTTGAACAAGTAATTGAATATGAAGAACAATGCAAGAAAAATCAAGGTTTTAAAGTACTTACGTAAGTATTGAGTTGACGAATGAAGCTGGAGAAGTTACTGTGCTTGAAGTAGCGAGTAAGGAGAGTGGTGGAGAACTTGTGAGAGTCCCACACAACGAAGCTGTTGCGAGCTCTGGTCCAGGAAACAATGGCGTCCGTGGAAGGATCCTCCACCATTTCAAACGTCTTAGTGAGAAACGGCGGCGGACCCACCTCGTGCAGCCCCTCCACTGGCTGCGGCGGGAAGCTTGTCTCCTCCTCCTTCACCACCACTCCATCCATGGTTAACGGTTCCCACAAATTATTAGTAACCTCAGTACCAAAAGACAGGATTTTTACTTTTGGAAGAGGATTTTGAGAATTGGGTTTTCGGATTTGATGCGATTTCTGGAATTTGGGTTGCCGAATTCGAGTTTTGTAGTGAAATTTGAGAGCTTTCTGAGAGAAAGGATCCTCTCCGAATCCCAAAGATATTTTGGAGTGTACTTTCTTTGTGATGTGGAGGAGAGAGAACGAGTTATATTTAAGGCCGTGGAAAGGAACTTTCTAGAGAGAACTGGGGCCTGCTGTCTCGTTTCTCAAATTTGCATGAACTTTCTTCTCCCACTTGTCAATATTATATTGTATTTAGCCTTAAATTATCACATAAATATGATAATTCATTCTTTTATTATTGGTATCAGTAGTTATTATCTTGTTTGCTTTATAAACTTTATAATTTAATAAAATTTGAAAGTATTATAATAATAAAGTGATCCAGCAAAGCAATTCTCAGTGGAAGATTATTTTATTAAGATCTAGAAAGATGCAAGACTTTATTAACAAATTTCAGGCGAGGAAAAATCCGGATCTCTTCTATCAAAGTCATTAAGTTCACTTATTTAGACTTTTGAAATTTAATCCAACTGCTAAAATTATTATAACTTTTAAGGGTCACCTGTTTGTAACCGTTAGATCAAATTTTAAGGATTCAAATAAGTGAACTTGGTGGCTTTGATGAGAGAGATCCGAAGATGATATCTTCTCATTTCACACAAGAAGCAAAAATTAATTATTTTATTTTGTTTATCTCAAAGCTCTAGAACCTTCTAAATGTTTTGGTTTGTGTTGAGGAATAACTATTTCAAAGCTTACTTAATTAGGTTAATTGATAAGGGCAGTGTTTCTTTTTTACAGTACTTGTTTATCAAGAAATAAAACTTAACTATTTTAAACTTTCCTCATTGGGGATAAGAATACAAAGTTTAAGATTTATACTTATGTCTGAAATGTTTTTCTGTTCAATCTATATAACTTAATCAAGTAGTCAATTTTAAAATTCAAAACGCGTAACTTTTATTTAGACAATTTTAAATTATTGACACGGAAAAATGTGATCATTGAACTTTACATAGGTACAAATTTCGTCTGATACCAAATACGAAATTTGAAATTACATACTAAAATTGTAACATCCCGTCCCAAAATTCTTATTAACGTACGTGTGAAATTACGACCTTGCCCCTAGTTCGTTTTGGTCACGTTATTGGTTGTTTTGTGTGGTGTGGCATGGGTTGGACCACACACACACTCTCACACTCACTGTCACTCTCCCTCACCCTCTGTCTCTTTCTCTCTCTCTCTCCCCCCGAGTCCTCTACTCTTCTTCTTCTTCAAAAACGTACGGACACTCCCTTAACCCCTCAAACCTGGACAGATCGAGGGAACCAAGGACACCATTGAGTTTGTGAGGCTGTGAGGAGTCCAGTGATACCCTTTTCAGGTAAGAACATCGACGTTTTCACGTCGATTCCTTAAACTCCGATTTGAGTACTGTTCATGCAACATTAATTTACTTAGTTTTTGGACATTTGAAGCTTGTAAATGTGTTGGTGAGGTCCCAAGGAGCTTGGGAGTGCATCGTTGGACGGATTTAGACGTCGAAATCACAACCTGTAAGTTTGGCCGGATTTTCATATTTTTAGAAAGTTTGTTTCCGTTGTTTTTAGGCCTTAAAACTTGTAGGATCGTGTTCTACTAGCTTTAAGGTTGATTTTGGTGCAAGAAACGTGAAAAAAGGTGGAAAAACGAGCGAGATATGGCGAGTTGCAGGTTTTTCCGGCGACGGCGACGGCGCCGGCGAGGGGGTCTGATCGGAGAAGAAGGGAGAATATTTCGTTAAGGTTTAACGGAATATTCCTAACGGCAGTGACGGCGTCAGTTAGGTTTAACGGAATATTCTGTTGGGTTAATGGAATATTCCTGACGGCGTCACTTGACGCTGTCAGTGTGCCTGGCACGTGGCCGCGCGTGGGTCCGTGCCTGTCTTGGCGCGTGAGGGCGCGTGGGAAGTCCAAAAATTATTTTAAAAATATGGGTGTGATCGTGAGGTTGTGTAGATCACGTTGGTATATTCATTTGTCCATTTTGAGCAATGTATGAGGAGTTATTTTGAACGGACGGTTATGTGCTTTAAAGTTAACGTTTTTATAGTTAATTCGCATATAGGTGACACGTATCCCGAGGACGAGCGTGCACACTCGAGGCAGGGGGGCTACGACCCTTCCACATACCAGTGAGTGGGCTTTTGTTTTCCGTATACACCTATATACATATAAATTCCCAGAAATTAGTATAAATGCTTCATTATATGCCGTTCTTTTTATATAATTGATGGTGATGCATGATTAGTGGCATATACGTTTAATTATATATTCGATTATGCATATGTCACATATATATTTGTTGGTGCTGTGGAGGCATAGGTAAGTGCCAGGTAAGCGTTGTTTAACATTTGCATTAAATAGTGATTCGAGGTGCTTAGAGAGCTCATAACCTGCACCCCCGGTGTTAGTGCTCCCGCCCAGAGTAGGGCACAGTCCTTCACGTGTTGTTCACCTCCCGCACCACACGCTCAGCTTGAATCCAAGTTAGGTGCACAGTCTTGTCGTACAGACCACTATAGGTGGTTCCGACTCGTAGGTGACCCGCGATTATTCGCACAGCCTTCACGTGATCGTAGCACTAGAGCGTTCATATGTATTACACCCAGGCCTGTCGTACAGACCACTATAGGTGGTTCCGACTCGTGGGCAGGTTTAGTTATTAAGTTTGAGATTTGAGCTCTAGATTCAGCCGTACAGGTCACTTAGGGGACTCCGGCTGCCAGTTTATTATGCTATTGATGTGATTTATACCTGAGCACATGCATGATATTATGAGGTTTTGAGATGGCATACCTGTGAGCATGATTGGCATACCTTTGAGCATGACTTGGCATATCTACGTATATGTGTTTATTTTCTGGGAAGTATACAGGTTTTACGGCGAGGGGTTAGAATGTATTTTATGAAATGGTTTTCAAAGAGCTTTGTTTTTGCCCACTCACGCTTTTGTTTTGCGCCCCTCCAGGTTCTAGTAGCTTAACGGATTCGGTGGTTTTCCCAGATGACGCCCCGGCATTCTGACAGACACTCACCTACGTAGGGCCACCTTCGGGTGCACTATTGTTGTATCGTTTCTTTTGGACTGCTGTAGGCTTAAAGCTCTGAATTCAACGTCTTACTTTCGCTAGCACATACTTTATCACATTATATTTGCTAGTTTTAAATTACTCGTACTTTTATATTACTGTTTTTAGCTTCCGCACTGTGCACATGGCTACGTCACTTCCACGTGACGGCCAGCATGCCCTGATCTCGGTTGGGGTGTGTCAAAAATCTATAAAATAGCATAAGTAGCCCAACTTCTTAATTATTTAATGCGAAACTTTAACTAAAAAGAACTCTGCGTGAGGACAATGAAGAGACTTCATGTGGTATCCAGATGGACCAAACTAGTTGGATAAGATTTTAGAATATGCTTTGGCTACGAATATTTATCCAATATTCAGATTTAAAAATAATATAAAAGAAGATATATGAGATAGGAACAAATTTCTTTCATTCTTCAGCCCAAAAATATTATATGAAATGAGCTCTTGTAGTTCAACTTTTTTTATTCTATTTTTAATAACCTCGTCGAGGAAGTTTTATTGATATGAAAAACAAATATTACATTTTGACACATTCCAATCTGGAATGTCCACTAAGACTCCGAATCAAGCTGTGATGGCTGACACCTGGTAGGTGACAAAGCCATAAAGAGTAATAATGTGGAAAATGTGAATAAATTTAAACCTAAAAGTACCTAAATGCAAGAGTGCGCAGTGAGCAGGAATGAACCCATTTCACATGTGATGATAGAGCAAAGTACAGTACAGTAAAATATGATGAGAATTATACCCTCAATGGTAATCCTCCACACCAAGATTTGTCAATAATCCTCGTCAGTACGAAAACTCTACTACTAGAACCTGGAGAGGCGAAAAACAAGGGTGAGTGAGCCTAAAAATAAAGTTTTATAAAAAACTTTTCTAAAAACATTGTAACCCCTCGCTGTAAAACAAGCATAATTTTTTAAAAATCATACTACATATAAGTATGAAATCCAATGCATGCAAACAATAAATCCAGAAATATGCCACAACAAAATATCTTAACGGCAATATGAATATAATCATAAGCTCAACAATATATACTAGCAGGTAAGTAGGAGTCACCTAATGTGACATGTACGACTGCATCTATTGCTCATCAATCTATGCTAACACATGAGTCAGAGTCACCTAATGTGACCTGTACGACAGGCTAGGTGTAATAATATACGCTTTAATGCTACGATCACGTGAAGGCTAGCGCTATGCGCTGGTCACCTACAAGTCGAAGTAGCCTAATGCGACTTGTACGATATGCTAGCACCTAACTTGGATCCAAGGTGAGCGTGCGGTGCGGGAGGTGAACAATCACGTGAAGGCTGGCCCTGGACCAGGGCGGGAGCACTAACACCGGGGTGCAACAATGATGAGCGAACTATATGAGTATAAGCATGCCATAGTAATGCAATAATTCTAATCAACATAATAAACTTACCTAAACTTACTTGCGCATCTCGTAAGATCATCTTGATATTTAACAACAGGGCAACATTTCTCATAACATAATTTAATCATGGCATGAAGTGCATGAATCAATTCAAAGCATTTGTGGAAACTATCAATCATATTAGCATTTGCCTACACACTTTGTGTGTATGAACACATTTTTTTAGAAAATGAGGAGAGGGGAAAAGAAAGAGAGAGAGAGAGAGAACGTGGGGGAGTGTGTGGTTTTTTCTTTTAATTTTAAATATTAGAGATATTTTAACATCACTTGCAAGTGAGGTTTCAATAAAAACAGTAAAATTTGGACTTGTGAAATTACATTATTGTCCATTATTTTTTTTGTGTGACAGAAAACTAAGTTATATTTTCACTCTCTTTTGGTCGACAAAGAGAGTTTCATTAATTAATAGAGATACATATACTATAAAAAGGAAAAGACCCACTCACAAATCATGACGTCGAGTCGAACGCGTTCGAACTAAGAAAGCTGGAGTCACCAATACTAATCGCACAATAGCATAAATATTAGGACCCATTAGT